CAGTATCCTGAGAAAGATCTTTTATCATTTGCACAGGTTGCCCAATCAACATAACAAAAGCCCTCAATGTCTATATGCCCATTCTTCCAGCAGATCAACCCCTTCCATGGTGTATTATCAAGGTACCTCATGTCAATTAGGAAGAATGAAAATCAAGCAGCTAAATTAAGAGTTTTCAATAATTAGAAGCTTCATTATTTTCGATATCTTTAAGTTAGAATAGAAATATGTATTATTAAGTTACCTAAAATAGATTGTTACCTAAAATAGTAAGTTACCTAAAATAGATTATGCAATTTATTTTGTACCTAAAATAGATTGTAAGATTATTATTTAATGGAATGAAAGCAAAGAAAAAAGGATGGAGTCGATTCGAAATCGAGCCTATTCAGTATTCATGTTATTTTTCTTAAAACTTTGACATGATATCAGAGCAAAACTTTTGCCCTAATCACCGATAATCCTTTGGAGGACTATCAAAGACTCTCTTCCCGCCGACCTTCTTGAGAGACGGGAAGGGAGGAAGGGAGCAAGGGAGGAAGGGAGATGGCATACTGCACGCTAGATCTCACCCTGATCTCCACAAAAGACTTATGCCACCCTCTTCACCCAAACGCGCGTCTACCCCCTCCTCACCATATCCTACGACGACCCGCGCTCTCGGCAGCGCATCGCCCCCGACCGCGATTGTGGACGGAACCATGATTGGAACGCTACGATCCACTTGCTCTGCATCCCCGCAAGCATACTTGAAGACCGCGATGTCGGCTTCGTTCAAATTCCCCTGCACGACATTATCGCCACTCCCGACGATACTCGCTTTGTTAGCTACCAGGTCTGCCGCCCACTCTCCGCAGCGGCGAAGCTGGATCAAGAATTGATGATTGCATGCCCGCCGGTGGGATATTACGTTGCGCCACAGCCATATGGATGCGGGACTCCAGCGATGCCGGTGGGATATGGTTATGCTCCGACGGGATATGGGGTTTCAGGAAAGGGGTTGTTATGTTTGTATTATTATTCGTCCACTTCGGTCTATCGGGCTTCAGTACTCTCAGGTTTTGGCCTCTTGGGCTTCGGCACTCTCAGGCTTCAGTACTCTCCGGCTTCGGCACTCAGTTTCGGCACTCTCGGTTTCGACAACTTGAGCATTTTTTGTCGCGACAATGTTATCAGCTTCTTATTGACAAATTGATGCTTCCTGATCAGTCAGCATGAATTTGAGGGGAGATGTCAATCAGGAAGAATAGAAATCAATCAGCTAAATTAAGAGTTTTCTATAATTAGAAGCTT